GGTCTTGGTTCCTTTCGGACGTGCAGGTGGATCCTATTTCCTTCCTTCTTTTGTTCTGGTTCCCGTGCGTGTAGGAGGTCTTTTTTTAGCGTTGGGTTTGTTATCAAGGCAAGGGGAGTGTGCTTTTGCGCTCTTTCTACGGCCCGTTATGCTTTTCCCCGCTCGGCATGCTTTAACTCTATCGACAGCATTTTTGGTGTCCAGACCAGTAGCAGCAGCAGCGTCGGTTAAGGCTCGTTCCGAAAGAGATATATGTGGAGCGGTTCCAGTCCCTCTTTGGAGGGACTTACGCCAGCTTCGGTCAGCAGAGTTACCCTCCACTCAGCCATGTAAAACACGGTTTCGTATACCCCTAATTCTGAAATTAGTGTGGCTTTTTGGGGCTCCTCGTGGAAAGCTTTGCGGTTAATAATCGAATAAGTAATCCAATCTTCCTCACGCTCTTTAGTTCATCTTGGTAGAACAAGGAAAAAGCCTATGTGGTGGGTTCGACTCCCACAGGAGCGCACATTAATTACCAATCAGCTGCTTTTCATTAAAGGAAGGGCATGATTAAATCTACTATGATATTATTTCGCGGTCCTGATTGAATGAATCAACTATTTAATTTCATAGTAAATTTCTCCATCGGCTATATGGCATCTATTTTTCAAGTGCGAGAGATTGCCCCGGGGTCACATTTTTTCTTCTTTGAAAGATGGGAACGGGGGATCAACTCAATAATCATTGATAATAATGGCATTTCACTTCCGCGGCCTGTAACACATGATCAAGCCGTGCCCCTCCTTAAGCCTCTTTCTTCGTTCGTAATCAAGCCGAAGGAAGCAAGGATGATTGCTAGCCTATAAGTGTAAAGAAAGGATAGTCTTTCTCTAATCTTTTTAATCTTTTTTGAATTGGGACCTATCGGATTACCTCAGCTAGCTCTTCATAAAAGTTTAAACAAAAAAGTAAGTAATTAATCCTATCTTTCTTCAGTCGGCTGTAAAGGAAGCTCAGCTCATTAGTGCCAAAAGCGGAAAGCAAGGCAGGGAAGCTAATTGCGACAGTCAAGGCAGGCAGACAAGAAAGACAGGTCAAGGTTGCTCAAAGATGCCAGTAGTCGCAGCTGAAAGAAAAAAAAGAGGAAGACAGCCGCCGTGAAAGCGTTCCACTCGCGCTTCTTTCTGTAAAGAGAATCACCCCTATCTGTTAAGGTAGCTTGCTTACTTAGTGCTTGCGCTAAGGAATACGGTAAGGAAGGGAAACTAAGGCAGCTAAACCACTAGTACGAAGGAGCGAGCGCGTTCTATCCACTAACCATGTAAAAAAAATGATGGGTAGAATGGCGCGGCGCTGTAGGAATCGGTCGGATTCGAACCGACGAATAGAAGTTTTGCAGACTCATGCCTTAGCCACTTGGCTACGGTTCCCTATCAATTCTATGTCTTTCCCCCTTAGCGCAAGCACTAAGTAAGCAAGCTACCTTTCCTTCCTTCTTTTCCTGGAGAGCTCTAATGTGACCTTAGTACTCTGTAAGCCAATGATGGTTAGTGCTCTAGAAGCCCCTGTCTTGTATTAATCTCTTTTCTTTCCGAGTCTACTTGACTTCTTTTTTTTTCTTTATGCTGTTCTGTTCGGAAAGACCTGTAAGTGGTTTTGGCATATCTTATGCAATCGATTGATTCTATCAGGTCCATTCTTCGGTAGTGCATAGGCTCCGGCTTCTTCCTCTAGCCGAGCCACTACTTGCGTGTGTGTAATTCATGGCAGTTTTTTATTATGGAGCTATTCTCTTTCTTGGATTTTCTTATAGTAGAGAGCGGTAAGTTAGTGCTGTTCTAAGGAAGTGGTAGCTGTTCCAGTACACAAACAAGGTGGGTTGGGGTTTAGGAGGTATTTTGAGCGCATGCTTGTTGCTTTAATAGAGAAAGGGCTTGGCATTTCACTCTTTGTTTCGGGGTTGTCACGGATTGGCCGGCCATACGGATAAGGAAGTCCAAGGAGTTTTTTCTTTTTGGAGGTTTCAAATCACATTAGCCATTCCATTCCTTCCGGATAACCTAAAACATGCAGGCCTACCTAAGAAAGAATAGAAAGGGTACTTTCTGATTTGAAAAAAGGGTTATATTACGATGTATACGATGAGATAAGAAGAATAAAACTGGCTCTTCTCTTGAGCCTATTTTGTTTGATTGATCTTGCCACTTAGAACTGGTAGGTAGGTCTGTCTTTCTCTGGATCCCGCTGAGCTGAAAGACATGAGACATAGATATAAAATCGTTTAGATCCGGACCGGGCTCTCGAAAGCTCATGTGACCGGAGGTGGGAAGATATGGGCTGGAAAAGCATGTTAATAATCACCGCAGGCCCTTATGCCCTGAGTTCTCAGCTTCTCCCCAGAAGTGGAACTAACTGGAGGGTCGGTATGCGAAGAGGGGTCTCCCTTGTAACAGGAGTGAAGAATGACCCGACCCGGCCACAAGAAGACAGGCAGAGTGGCGGGGCAATGGTACCAGACGTTAAGGAGAGAGAAGTGAGTTGGTCTCGACGAGAGCCCAGGCGAGTCTCGTGTGTGAGAGTCTGACCGGGATTAAGGATATAGTTCCCTTCCTGGTCTGGGTTAGGGTTCCAAACCTGCCATATCCCCTAAAGCCCCAGAGCTCGAGGTCTACTTCTACCTAAATACATACAGCTTGCCTTACCACCATTTCAGAGCCAAGCCTCCCTTTCTGATAGAGGGGAGTGAGAAAGATATTTTTTTTTCGGATCGCCTAATTCAATAGCTCAAAAATAGGTGGAGTTCGCCCTTTGAAGCACATAGTTAAGTGTTGCAACAGGGGGGTTGTTCAGCGAACGGGAAGCAAACAAAGTCTCCATACCAACATTGAAGGCTTCGCAGCTATCCGGAAGAGAGCCTTACTCTATAGGGGTGCTAACGCTTTACTAATATAATATCAAGTAAGGGCTCTTCTTCTGTTCTACGAATCTAACTAATCTATACTACTACTAACTATAGTCAGACTAGGTCTTCTAGAGGGAACTAGCATAGTATGGTTTATATATTTTGTGCTACTAGAACCACAAGCCGCACTATACTTGCCTGAACCTCCTAAACGAAGTACGCTTTGGCGAGCGAGAAGCAGCCGGGTATAGGAGAAGGGGCGGTTGGCTTAGTAAAGATAGTAAATAGTTCAACTTGGTGGATAGTTCCTCGGCTCGGTTGAGTAATGTAGTTCGCTCGGCTCGCAGCGGGCTTGTTCTAGTGGAAAGAGATTTCTCTCTGGGAAAAACACATAAGATTTGTTCGCTAGAGCTTCATCACTGAATAATGGTGGCTTGACTTTTTGGAGAACTTCTTCGCGTGGGCGGCGTACGTACAAGGTAGTTTACTTGCTTACTTTAAAGAGGGAGGGGGTGTTAGAAATAAGCCACCGCCCGACGACGGTTTACAACACAGAGCGACCCGGGACATCGAGCGAAGAGCTCCAATGCGCGTATTCGGAGCTACGCGGATGCCGTAGTCGCAGAAGCCGGATCAACATCATGACAACGGCATTCTGGAAACTGTTAGGCCAGCCACAATTGGTCTAATGTCTGGGTGCGTATGGCGGTACACTGAGAGCACCTTTCAAGTCGGCTGACAAAGAAAAAAGGGTTTCGTCGTCTTTTTCCCGCTTTCACCTGCGATTGCGAAGGGATTTGAGGCCGGTTTTCAATTCGCTTCTCTCTCTCCGGCGAGGTTTGACTTCGCGTGGTGGGAAGGCCTTCGCTATTCGCATCTTCCCGTCCAGCAAAGAAAGTGAAGGGGAGCGGACAGCAAGTTGGAGGACGCTGCGGAACCGCGTAATTGATCCATCTGCGCTATTCCCTAATTGAAGCAAGTTAGAAAGCCTTCAGAGCCTCAGCCCCTACCATTTTTTGAATAAAATGAAAGCTGACTAGCAATCGCTCGTTTTTCTTATTAGCATGGGATTGGATGTTAATAATGAAAGACAGAACATCTATTAGAAGGCAATCCCCGGGGAATTCCTATCGATTTCCGATGGATAACAATCCATATTTCTCGCTCTCGCTCTTTCTCCCAATCAATCGCGAGGGTTCCGGGCATGAGAACGCAAGTTCCGGAATCGAACAAAACGTCCGAGGACGAAAGAAAAAATGCTCCGCGGGGAACTCGTTTCATGTCGGCGTATTCGTGCCGGTTAGACGTCGGCCATGAAATCCATCACTATACCGAGCAGATCCCGGGCATTCACATCTCGGTCAAACGGAACTATGCGCGGTTCTCTCGTGAATCGCCTTCAGCAAGGTATGGCATTCAGGGTCTGAACCCGGGGAGAAATCTTTCTTCATAGATACAAGACATTCGTTGCTGATCTAAAAAAGATCTTATCCTGTGGGCGTTAGCGGACGTTTTTCATTCTTCAACCGGTCCTTAGTAGCGTTTCCAAAGTCAACCTAACCGGTTACTTTTGTGGAGACGCGCTAAAACAGGCCTATAGGTTCGCCTTTCTAATAGAAGAAGAGTAGATAATTAGATATAATAAGTATATATAATTAGCCAGATCATCTGAAGCATGAACAGAATCACCTTTGTTCCGAAGGCCTAGCGAGTTAAGCGAGTTCCTTTTTTTTTTTCAAGGAGGTCTTTTTCTTTCCCCGGACCGATGACTCGCTTGTTCAGTACTGCTAAAACTATTATAGGAGTATGCCGTCCCCTCGGGACTACCAGTAGTTTTGGTTGTTGAATCTCGTGCAAGTTAGGTTGTGGTTGTATTGGCTGCAAGCGGAACGTAGGCGCTTTAGGTGTGTGTTGACCATGCACTCTCGCGTCATGTAATGTCGTATGTATGATAGAGGTGGTGTGGTGATTGATCTCAATGCTAATGGTTATCCCCAAGGTTCAACGAATGAATGGGGCTATGATTGTACCCGGATAGAGATGACGGTCTTCCTCTGATGTCTCCAAGCCGGCCATAATAGAATAGATAGGCGAAGCAGCCAATAGCAGTCTGTTC